TTTGTCAGCATCGATGGCAAAGCGCTTTGCTAGTGCGCGAGGGCTCAACTTCTTCCTATAGCCCTACGAAGCCATTCATTGCACATTAGGATCGAGCTAACTAGGGCAAAGTCCTTGGTGTGATGCTGGGATTTACGTCGCTCAGTCGTCGACCGCATTCGTGTCGGTAGCTAATGGCGTTAATATGTTCGTTGTGGTCAAGACGGAGGGTCATTTCAGTAGACGTTGGTCCAGCAGGTAGAGCTATATTCCTGATCGTGCCTCATAATCAAGCGAGTGTACATCCGGCAAAAGCGAACCACGTACGAGCCAACATCAACGCTTTGCCACATGTGCACAGCTAAGACACTCGCTGTTGGAATACGTTCTTGACACCACGATTACGATCTTAGTTTCGCACTGAACCAGAGACGTAACCCTTCCACCCGTACTAGCATAGTAGCAATCGATTGTTTTCACTGACGGTAGAGGTCCCGACGACGCTTGCGCTTGGGACTCTCGGCGTCGATGAATCCATTTAGTCAGTTGGAAATGGTCCACGCCCGCCCTATATTGATCTTCAATCGTCCACTTGCCGCTGCATATATATTATGCAACGCGGAGAGCAATATATATTTGCCCAGCGGCGCGTCGATGGGACGGTGGTGGTGTCTGCAGTGTCGTGTCGTGTTCGACAGCCGAATGTTCCGTCGAACGTCGACGTTTTATCAGCTTCGTCTCAAGTACTGTACCAACTTGATACGATGCGCAGTGAGACAGAAACGAGAATATCCCGGCCATCGGGCAAGAGGACGACCGCCAGAACGGCAATCGGGATCGCCACAAAGACATGCTACGCTAGCGCGTCTATGGCGCGACGCGTGGCACGACGGTGGGTCATTCTGCTACTGGCGCCGCCATGACCAAGACAGCTGCTGCAGCGCGCGAGCCCGAGGCAGAGGCCTCGCCCACCAAGGCCAAGGTGCCAGCCAAGGCCAAGCCTAGCAGCTTCAACTTGGTGTGGTACCTCGTGCCCGTGCTTTTTGCCATTGCTGCAGGGCTGTACTCGTTCCCGCTCGAGACAAACGACGATGCGCTCGTCTTCTCCAAGGGCCCGCGCCAGCTCGCCGTCAACATGTCGGCGCCGCTGCCAGACAAGTACCGGAGCGATATCGTGCGCATCCAGACACGCAAGCTCCTTTCGCCCGACCCTGCGTGCGTGCCGCCGATGGCGCCCACCGACCGCGTGCATGTCACAGCGTACCTCGATCGCCCCGAGACGCTGCGCGCGCAAAAGTCTGTGCTGCTCTTGCTGAACGGCGAGAACGACGGCGTCGTCTTGCCGTGGGACGTGGCCGACGGCTGTTTGCACGCGCTAACGGCGTCGGCGGCGTTTGCGCTGGGCGTCGATGCCGACTACGCGGCCAACGGACTTCGCCTCCACAACAGCGACGGGCAGCAAATCGATACCGCGGCCGAGTTGGACCGCGACCGCATCGTGTACATCCTTACCGACTTTCAGCTGTGGGTGTGGCCGGGCATCCAAGTCGGCTATGAGCGAACGGTGGACGGCATCACGCTCAAGACGCTCTCGTTGGCGCCGCTCGTGTTTGGCGTCGAAGACTTCTTCACGTCGGACGAAACCGAGTACGCGATCGAGCTCGGGTTGGAGCATTTGAGTCGGTCGCCGGTCGACAGCAAGGAAGCGCCGGACGGGTACCACGCCGACCGCACGAGCTTCACGGCGTTTCTCGACGACTCGCACTACACGCGCAACTTTCGCGCCCGAACGGCTGCGCTCGCGCGGCTGCCGTCGCCCGTCTACTGCGAACGCATGCAACTGCTGCGCTATCAGACCGGCCAGTTCTTCCGCCAGCACGAAGACTACTTCAGCTCCAAAGACTTTTTGCAGCAATCGGCGACCGCGGTCGCCGACTATGAGGCGTGGGCGAATTGGGCGGCTGCGACGATCGACGCGCTGCCCGAGAGCGTCCCCGTGCGTTTTCAACGCGGCCATCCGCTGTACCCGGTCGTGGCCGACACGAGTCGGTGGCAGCATGCGCTGTTGCAGCTCTTCTTGGACGAGGCCGCGGCCAATGGCTACTTTGCCACCGAGCACGTCTCGGACGTTGCGTGGCGCGACTGGATCCAGGAGAACGTTCAGAACAAGGCTGTCGACATCCTCAAGCAGCTTCTCGAGTCCAAGCCGTACATGCTCGATGGCATCATTGCCGCATGGGAAAAGCACATTGGGCTCCCCGCCCTCCACTACAAGTAGGACTTCCGCAGTGAGGCATAAGAGTCTCACGCCGCGTAGGGCGCCCAAGCACCCGCCGAGTGGCGTATCGCACTACTTTCGCTGGATCCGCTGGGCCAAGGAGCGCGTCGAGCAAGTCGGCGAGGATGCGCCGGTCGTCGTGCGCACGTACGGCCGCGACTACCCGACGTATCGCATGCAGTTCCAGACCACGGTATGACGTGGTCCGCTCGTGCTGCCACGTGTCTAAAGTGGCGTGTGTTTAGATGATCACGTACGTTTTGGAGGACTACACGCCTGCGGAAATCGATGCGGCGCTGGGCGCACCCAACATGGCGGCGTGGCTGGAAGAGAACAAGGACGCGACCGATGCCCTCCTCAACATTCTCCGTACCGCCCCCGCCATGTTTGACCTCGTTGTCGCGTCGTGGACCAAACGTGCGGGCGACGCTTTTGCCTACACGTACATTTTGTGCTCCGAGGACAACTTGTCTGATTTGCGTGCGTAGAAAACCGGTGCAGTTTCAGCACTTTGAGCCGAACCGGTTCGTGACGCTCTTTTTGTACCTCAACGACGTGCCCGAGGGCGGCGAGACCGTGTTCCCGTACTCCAAGGAGCGTTTGGTGACGGACATTCAACGCGACGGCATGGCCGAGTGCTCCGAGGGCCTCGCGGTGCCGGCCCAGCGGCTCAAGGCCGCCTTCTTCTACGACCAGACGGGCCAGAACATTCTTGACCCGCTCAGCCTCCACGGCGGGTGCCCGCCTGCCCGAGGCACCAAGTGTACGAGCGCGTCCATTGGTCGATCGATTCTCCGAATGACTCATCTCTCGTTGTCGTGTAGTTGGCGCCAACCTCTTTACGTGGAACGCCGACGCCGACGAAGGCTCGAACGCGTGGGGCTTTGGCGGCTAGAACTCGGTTGTCCGTGTGTTTGCATCTTGGTGTGTTCGACAAAGTACAGGGTACACACTTTTTTTGGTCCAAGCTAACACGCCACGAGCCGGTGTTCCTGGACGTGTTGGTGGGTCCTACGCGACGCCTGTACGCAGCTCCTCGTACGATGAGCGATGAATGCTTCATGGTGGCAAATTGATACGTTGAAACTAGAAAGACGAGACGAGGGTCGCTCACGTAGAATGCAAATGGAATAAATTAAGCGTCCTTGTGCGGGACCTTACAAAGCGACCAGAGCGTTTGACTCGGCGGCAGCTTGAAGCTTTGCAATGTACTCGCGGATCGTTTGGCCAGTTCCGATCGAGTTGCGCGAGTAGGCCTCCATGATGTACTTGGAGATCGGGACGGCCTCTTCCATCGTCTTGTACTCGGAGAGCGCGGGCTTGAGCTTCTGAAAGTGCTTGACGATCGTGGTCCCCGGGGACGTCGGCGACACCTCGACCGTTGTCCACGAGACTTCGTTTGTGACGGCGTGGCCGTCCTTCACGGGAAAGCACTCGTCTTCATGGATGCCCCGCGCCACAAAGACAGCGCGGCCGGGCACCTCCGTGTACTTTTTGATGAGGATGCGGCGCTCAATGACGCCAAGACCGTATGGACGCACGGCGGCCACGTACGCGACGTTGTCCTCCATGGCGGTGAGCGGCGCGTACGTACCGTGGACGCCGACGAGCTCGACGACCCCGCGGAAGACGTCCCAGACACCGGCAGCAACGAGGTCGCATGGCGCGTCAAAATGCGCGCAGAGCGTCGTTTCGATCTCGAGCATGCCGTGCTCGAAGCGAGGCACGTGCCGGCGCTTGGGCGGCATGTCGACGTCGTCGAGGAGCCCGGCTTCGATGAACGCCGAGTCGACCTTTTCAAACTCGCGGTCTAGAATCGCGTGGATCGCCACCGACCGGATCGACGGGTCGGCCACCAGCTTCATCTGCTTCCACAGATCTTGTTGCTCGGTCGAGAGGTGGGCCAGCCGCGGCTTCTTGCGCACAATGTTGACGAGGCATTCGGCAAACTGCACTTGCTCCTCAATGGCCTCTTTGAGCTGCTTGTTCTCGAGCACCGACTCTTGCCCGCGCTTGCGCTCTTCTTTCGCGAGCTTTTCCCAGCGCGACGGCGGGTCCAGGAGCTCCCGCAGCTCGCGGCTCTGGTTCAGCGACACGAGCTGCGATTGGAGGTCGACGACCGCCTGCTTGAGATAGGCAAACTCGTTTTGGCGGCGCTTGCGGTGGCGCTGGACGGCCAGCTGCTGCTTGTTGACGGGCTTGGGCGGCGGCGGTGGCGTCTCGTCGGGCTCCGACTTGGTCGACGCGCTCGACGTGGGCGTCGAGCACATGGTCTCGAGGATCGCACGCTCCTCATGCGTAAAGTTGATGCTGCCCGTGGCCATGTTGAGGCTGTTGATGTAGTCGCCGTCCGGCGTCTCGAGGCTGCGGAGGAGCATCGCGCGGTACGTCGCGCTGTCCCCTTGGTTCATTTTGCCACCTTGGACTCTCTCTTCCGCAACCGAATGTGCTTTTGGGCAAACGGGCGAGATTGTCCTGATTTGAAATCGAAAAGTCCTACCGGATCACTTCAACATCCGAATCTCGACCAAACGCCAGTCCTCTCGCCTTGCTGCAAACGCCGGAAGGATCGATACCACCCGTGCACTCACAGGGTGTGTATCACCAGCTCCTACCACCCGATGCCATGATTGCATGACGACGCACGTGTGGTCCTCGCGCGCCTGTCGTCCGCCGCCGCCGCATGCGCCACTCTTCCGCGTGATGTTGAAGTCGACGGCAAGTGCGTTATCGCGCTGCCACGTGGATGTGAAGGGACGACCATACATTTTGACATTGATGACGATAGAACATAAATTAGCTACAGGAGCGTGCGGATCTCGTCGAGAATCGCGACTTCAAACCCGACTGTGTTTTTCGAGAAAGCCTCCATGAGGTACTCGGCGTCGAGCGCGGCGCCGTCGTGCTTGGTCGGACTCGACTTTTGGAAAAACTTGACCATGCTCGCTGTCAACGAGAGCGGCTCGACCGTGAGCCACGACACTTCGTTCGAGTGGGCGCAGTTTGAGTCCATCGGATACAAGGCGTCGGCGTGAATGCTCCGACAGATGACGGCAAAGCGGGCCGGCGCGGCGTGGTAGCGCTTGACGACGACGCGGCGCTGGGTCTCGAGCGCAGCGTGTCGGCGAACACCGGCCACATACGTCGTGTCAACGTCGACTTCATGCAAGAGGCGATACGACCCGTTGAGCTGCGGGATGGGCACAGAGCCCCGGAGCACACGCCACACGGCCTCGCATGCGACGCCAAACGCAGCTGGGAACGGCACGCAGACGATGGTCTGGATCTCCAGTGTATGATGTAGCGTGATCTTGGGTACGTACTCGTGGCGGTGCAGTGGCGACTCGATCAAGCCGGCTTCGATGAACGCGCTATCGAGGTCGGCAAACACGCGGTCGACGATCGCCGGGATCGCAATGCGCCGGAGCGCCGGGTCGGCCACGAGCACGAGCTGGCGCCATTGGTCGTCTTCGTTGTCAGCGATGAGCGCCATCTTTGGTCGCTTGCGCACAAGGTTGACGAGGCACTCGGCGAACTGCACCTGCTCCTCGAGCATCTCTTTGAGCCGGCGGTTCTCACGCTGCGAGTCGTGCTGGCGCTTGCGCTCGCCTTTTGCCAGTCGCTCCCAGCGACTCGCGCTGCGCGTCGGGCTCTTCTCCGTTGTGAGCCGAGCAAGCTCGGTGTGCAACGTGTGCACCGTTGCCTTCAAGTACGCGAGCTCGTCCTGCTGCTTCTTGCGGTGCTTGAGCGTGGCGATCTGCTGCTTGGTGCGGGGCGGCGCCTCGCGCGCCAAGTCGTCGCAGATGCCAGCGACGAGCTCCGTCATTGTCGCCGGGTCTGGCAGTAAGATCTCTGCTGCGCCAGGGTCCGAATGCGCGTAAGTACTTGGGCGCATCGATCAACGTCGATCAACGCCGAACGCTGCAAATCGCTGAAAAAGCCAGCGTGTCAACGCATACGGCGTGTTATAACGCGCGGTCGCCCACCAGGCATCCAACGGACCAATCACATAGCAGTGTTATAACAGTATCGCGTACTGGATTCGTGACGCGATCGACAGGCTTGACACGCGCAGACATACTCATACGTGGCAGCCTCCTGGACTCTCGACGATACTTGCCTGAGACGCTCCACGTTGTTGCCGGCGTGTTCCGAAGGCGATTGCGCTAGCAGGTGGTCCCTCGCAATCGCCGGGGCGGTCTGACACGTCACGATGACCAAATGACCCAGTTCCGAGCTCTGCAGACTTGACTTGGAGGCGGTATCACAGACTCATGAGTCATTCTTGTACATACTACTAGTACGGGTCAGTGCGACTCTTCAGACGAGCTACCGCCGCTCGTGTCGCCATCGACGAGGCTCTCCATGGTCGCAATGAAACCGTCGCAGTAGCTCCCATATAGCTCCATGAGGTACTTGCTCTCCGGTTCTTGGATCTCGGCGGGTCGAAAGTCTTTGAACGCTGGCTTGGACTTTTGAAAGTACTTGGCAACGACAGTCGCCGTCCCAGTGGGCTCGAGCACGAGCCAAGAAACTTCTTCCGAGATGTCAAGACCCGGCTCGGTCGGGTGCAGCGCGTCGCTCGTGACGTTGCGCGCTACGATGACGCAGCGACCGGAAGGTTCCATGTACCGGCGCATGACGACGCGCCGAAGCATGGTTCCCACTGTGTAGTGGCACACGCTGTGCACATACGCGGTGCTCTCGTCGAGCTCTTCGAGCAGCGTGTAGACACCACCGACGCTCCGAACGGGATAGGCGCCGCGAATGACGTCCCAGACACAACGGAAGGCAGTCTCGACCGCCGTGTGCATCGTCCACTGCAGAATTGTGTGCACTTCGACAGCGCCGTGTACGACATGCGCGAGGTACTGGCGGTGGTCGTGCGTCGAGTCGACGAGCCGCGCTTCAATGTACGCGCCGTCGATATTTGCATACTCATCGTCCAACAGCGCATGGGCCGTCGTGACGCGGTGGCTATGGCGCACGCCAAGACTTGCGGTTTTCCACGGCTTTTCGCATGCGGCGCCAAAGAGCGAGAGTCGCGGCCGCTTGCGCACGATCGCTGCGAGCGACTCGGCAAACTTGACCTGGTCTTGCAGGGTGGCTTGTAGCCTGTCGTTCTCACGCACGGCTTGGAGGCGGCGCTTGCGCTCCCGCTTTGCAAGCTGCTCCCAGAGCGACGGCGGCTGGATCATGGCCGTGAGCTCGGCCGACTCTTTCAGGACCCGGACTTGCTCTTGAAGCTCGGCGACCTTGGCCTGCAGGTACAGCAGTTCGTTCTTCTGCTTGAGCTGGTGGCGCTGGAACGAGCTGAGCTTCTTTGGCGACGCGGTCGTAGGCAGCTCGACGCCGCCGAGCCAGGCTTCGACAGCTTTGTGGGCGTCGTCGCCCATTGCTCTGTGGGCGTTTTTAGCTGTCTCCGTCATCAACACATTTCATTGGCCAAAACCAAGCGCAACATCGCCATCGCATTGGCCCATTGCGACCTGAGCGGCCAATCACAGCAAAGCAACACCTTCCAGTGTTGAGGCCGCCTAACATCGACTGGGGGAAGACCACAAAGCTGTCGGGCGCTGCCCGTCGTAGCACGCGCAGCCATTCGCTATTCTCCGAGCGCATCGACACCGAATACTTGAGAGTCTTGCAGGATAAATACACTGTAATCGCTATCGATGCAGTGGATCCCGATCCTAGCAATTAATGATCTGCACGTATCATGTGGTCGCTATCGAGGCGCTGGATAACCCACAAGAAAAATCCAGTGGCTACTCGGTGCTACTATACGTGTATAACGACGTGATAAGATGTTCGGTGTCGTTCCCGCTATGACGTGGCAGCCTACGCGTCGATTACCGAGTCGTCGGACGAGCTGCCGTCGGTCTGAAGAAGCATGAGCACGGCCCGTTCGAACTGGTACGAGTGATCGGCGTAGAGATCCAGGAGGTACTGGCTCTCGATCGTCGCCGCGTCGAGAGGCTTGTCAAAGCAGGGTGTCGATTTCTGAAAGTACTTGACGACCGTCTCGTTTGGTGCCGTCGCCTCAAACGTCATCCACGAGGCCTCGTCCGAGATGCGCGCATCGACAGGGTACAACGCGTCCTGTGTGACGTTCCGGCCTACGAGGACTACTTGGGACGGCGACTCGACGTACCGCCGCATGACGACACGTCGGAGCATCGTGCCCACGGCATAGCGCCGCTCGCTATGCACGTACGACGTGTGCTCGTCGATCTCTTCCTTGAGCTCGTACGTGCCATCGAGCGACCGGACGGGGTAGGCGCCGCGAAGAATGTCCCAGGCGACGCGCACGACGGCCTCGAGCGGTCTCATCAGCCGGATGTGCAGAATCGTGTGCACTTGGACGACGCCGTGGAGCAGGACGGCTCGGTGGGCGCGCACGGGGCCTGTCGGGTCGATGAGGTGCGCCTCGACAAAGGCACTCTCAAGCACCGCGCGGGCCGCGTCCGAAATTTCGTGGCACGTGCGCTGGCGCGAGGGCAAGTCGGCGCAGAGGGCAATGGCTTCCTGGAGCGCCGTCTCGGTGTCTGCAAAGAGCGCAATGCGCGGCCGCTTGCGTACGATCGCAGCGAGCGACTTGGCAAACTTGACTTGCTCCTCCAACGACGCTTTGAGCCGCTCGTTTTCGCGCACGGCAGCGAGCCGGCGCTTGCGCTCGCGCTTGGCCAGCTGCTCCCATAGTGACGGCGGGTCCATGATCGCGCAGAGCTCATTTGTCTCATGGAGGACGCGCACGTGCTCCTCGAGCGCGGCGACCTTGTCTTGGAGGAACTCGAGCTCGGTTCGCCGCTTGTCTTTGTGGCGGTAGTACGCCGACCGCTGCTTTCCCTTGCGCACCTGCGCGTCATCTTCGTCATCGTCATCGTCATCCGAGTTGGTCGATGTGCTTGGCGCGGCGCGGCGTGGGCGGCCTCGCCTCTCGTCAGGAGGCGTTGCGTCACCCGCCGCACCACAATTCGCCATCATGAACCGTTTGCAGCAATGGACCTGGATTGGTCAAAAAGCTGCTAAGGACGCGCCGGATTGGCCGATCAGATGGCCTGACTAGCGTCGACAATACTTCCAATTTGTCGACCCAAAATGCACGACAATCTCACCCCGAATGTCCAAGCAACATCGAATATCTTTTGGTCTAGTTTAATATGTGAATATATCTGATAGGAAGCGCGGTTCGTGGCGCGCATCGAAGCGTTTAGGGCTCGTTGAACCACCTTGCAGTGGCGCGGCAAGGGTCAATAATTATTGACCCTTGGGTGCGGTTTCGTTCAACCAAGTCCCCAAATCTTATGTATTTCATTCGCGTGGACGCCGCGGTGTTGGACGAGGGCTACCCAGCCATATGAATAGTGCTGCTTGAAGTAATACCCGTACTTGGCGCAAAGCTTAGAGCTGAGAGTCCCCATTTTAGGCCACAACAAGTTGCCCGATCGTCCTATATCTGTTGTTCTGCACTCCGGCCTCGACGACCGGCTGGCTTGAGCTCGTTCAAGACAGATCAAAATCGAAAGGTGGACTCAAGGGCAAAGCGAAAAATCAGTATACATTAGTGAGCTCGTCACGGGTCCAGAAGACCTCGCGAGGCTCACGATCGAATACCTACTGGCTGTAGTCAGCACTATGCTAGTATAAACTATACCTTGGCCGGCAGGTTGAAGCAGATAGCGCGCGAACAATTTGACGACACGATTGACGGCACAATTGCCAACGCGCTGGTGTGCAACCGGAGTGGGAGTTGCGTCCGGTTCATCAGTCTCGACAAGAGTCGACGCGCTATAGACCATGACGCTGGGAAGGACCTCTCACAGCGCCTCGTCCGGGGCTCAAGCGACGATACTCGAGCACAACCTGGAGCGGGTACAGGAGACGCTTGCTAGTCTCTGCGCAGTGTTGCAAACACAGCACCTCGACCCATCTTGATACTTGATACTTGTAGCCTACAAAGCATCTCCACCAACAAGTTGTAGGTCTTGACGCAACGCGTCGCCTTCCGTGGATGTTTCCATTACTTGAACACAGCAATAGCCTTCTAAATTACGACTAGTAGCGTCAAACTCGACCATTGCAGCATTGGACGAAGCGCATACGATATGCAGAGGAAGGTGACGTGACACAAAACACATTTTTAT